GTGCCCATTGTTTTGAGTGTATCTTGTTGTGTTGTGTAGCTTGTTGTTTTGAGTATCTTGTGATTGATGATTTGTTGTATTAGATTATTGCCAATTGTGCATGTTTGTTTGTTGTTTGTTCTGCGATACCTGAGAATATAGTTTTGTTGTGTTATTAACTCTCGGCTCTGGCTCATTCTTTGGACCACAGCTGGCGTTCGCTGGTGCACCAAAAGAACCAATTCTAATTTGTCCATGTTTTCGTGACGCGTTTCGGGGGCGGATACATCTGCCCTTAGAATGAGCCCGCCGATTGCCTTCCAAATTAGAGGAATCAGTGACGCCCTTGGTCTACACCCGTCTACTCTTTTCTAGAGTTTCTGTATATGCTATCTTTATATACAGCAACACTACACCTGTCGTCTCGTTTAGGCCACCAAAACTTATGGCGCGTGCCTCATCGACACTGGTTCGCATGCACGGACGGACGACCTACTCAGAAAGGGGCTATTCTCACTATGTACAGAAGAAAGGCTTTATGGCTTAGTCAGGGAAAAAATATTTCTAGTAGACAGTTCTTGTTCACTTTGGCCTGTATAATTACCGCAAAAATGTTTTTTCTTTCCTTTTCCACAACCCCGGTACTAGATAGCATACCGGATCCTAGCATTGCGAGCGTTAATGTGAGCATGTTCAAGAACAGCCTCACCGACTCAGCAGTTCAATAACGAGAAATGTAGCTGTTGTTGCAGAGAGAAAGGAGTGAAACTTGGTTCAAAAACAAGGTTAATAAGTCTTTTAAACTTTGTAGCAAAAGTATATTAATATCAGCCATATTTAGGCATTTCTCAGAAACTATTTTCTTCACTGTACGAGTTTCAGTGTTCCCTCACTTTTCGTTGCCCCGCAGCGGCGTCTGCACAAGCGGGTATTTGGTGTTTGGCGACACTACGGACCCAAGCTAACTGGGGGGTTTAGACCCCCTGCCAAGCTTAGCTGTGCATGACTCTGCCATGTTCGGGGAAAAGGGGATCCTGGAGATTGAGTCTTTGCATGGGTCTTAGTAGTCGGGTAGACCTTCGTACGACTTGAAGAGTTGGAGAAGTCACCGCAGGGGCGCCTGCGTGCGCAAGTAGGCGTTTGGTGTGTAGCGACACCACGGATCCGAGCTAACGGGGGAGTTTCGGCTCCCTCCCACGCCTAGCCGTGCGTGGCTTTGCCGTATCCGGGGAAAAGGGGATCCTGGGGGTTGAGCCAATGCTGGGTGTTTGGGCCTTTAAGGCCCCCTGACTGAGGCAACACACCCGTTTTGCCCCAGCTTCACGTAGACTGCTCTGGGCTGACCCACTCAGGGTAAATCGGCAGTCACCTTTTCTTATCTCTCTCTCCTCTCATCTTCATCTTCACCTTTCACTTTTTGTCTGTCCTGTCATCTTCTATCTTCCGTTTACTTCCAATTTTTTTTTGTTGGCGAGGATTAACCTTGTGTAGTCGTTCGATTTTGGGTAGTTATGTGTGGTTATAGCGGCGATGCATGGCTGGCGGCTTTAAGTGTTCTACCTTGCAGCATTTCCTTGTCGAGCTCGGTGGTGGGTGGCCACAATCACCGCCGAATATTAGATATTCCATATGGCACTTTTTCGACGCACTCCCTGATTAACACCCGAAACAATGCCTCACCAAAGAAAAGCTTCACACTCCAGAAACCAAAGCAGTTCTTCCCGAACTACCATGTCGCGCACAGTCAAAACGAAAACAAAACAGTGCAATCAATTTCGCCTTTTTTCGTCTCAAAAACGCTCATAGAAGTTATTGGCCCAGGCTACATTGTAACGAAGTTGAGAAGCGGGGACCTCCTTCTGGAGGTGCGTGACAAGCTCCAATATAATAATCTATCTAAACTTGTAGCATTTCGGGACATCCCCAGTTTCAGTAAGCGCACACAGGTTAATGAGTACAGTGCGCGATGTGGTCTCTGATGGTAACCTCCTTCAACTGTCTGAAAGCGAATTATTAGAAGGCTGGCAAGACCAGAACGTAGTCAAGGTCCAGAGAATAGTGATACAACGAGACAACAAAGAAACAGCAACGAAACATATAATTATTACCTTTGGTATTAGTGACTTACCCGATTCGATTGAAACCGGCTACTGTAAGCTCCTTGTCAGGCCCTACGTAGAATATCCCCGTCAATTTTTTAAATGCCAGCGCTTTGGATATGGATGGCAAAACTGCAGAGGGTGTGCTACTTGTGCGAAATGTAGCTCCGATGAACACTCATTAGACTCTTGTACTGCAGCAGCCCGCTGTGCCAACTGCGAAGGAGACCATTCCGCCTATTCTCTATGGTGCCCATCCTAGAAAAAAGAAAAACAAATCCTCGAGCTTAAAGTGAAATTCAATCTATCCTTTCAAAAGGCACGCAAACGGTTCACACTCTATTAGTCCATTTTCTCCTTTGCCGATGCGCCGTGCCACATCTTTCCACGCCCTCCAAGTGTTACACAGAGTGTGACCGTGGTCGCTGCCATCAGCACCTCCGGCTGGAGCAGCCTGCACTGCTCCGCCACTCGACAAACACAAACAGGGCCGGCAGACTCCTCGTGTCTGCTGGACTCTGGGCCACTGCAAGCACAGTCAGGTCCAAAACCACTGCAAATGTGCCTGCTGGGCAGGCACCATCCCCCACCTCAAGAAACAAGCCCCACTCTTCTGGCGCCTCAGACGCCGAAGGAGAGGCGCAACTCTTCGGAGCGCAAAAAAAAAAAACCAAATTACAGTGCCCCCAAAAGGCCCAGTAACCTAAGACAACACTTTTTGTACACACAGCAACACACACATTAAAATTACACGTATACTACAGTGGTATATCAGAGGACTTCTGAGAAACCTCGACGATATCCAAGAAATTCTATACAAACATACTCCAAAAGTACTATGTGTACAAGAAACACACTTAAAATCTAAGCACACCAACTTTCTATGCAGTTATACTATTTTTCGAAAGGATCGGGATTATGCGATGATGCTGTCGTGTCATCCGGCGCTGTTGCCATTGTAGTTGATCAAGGAACAGCCTGTGCACATTTATCGCTTCAGTACGCGCTTTGAAGCAGTAGCCGTATGAGCTGTACTCTTCAACAAACTGGTCACAAGTTGCTCTATTTACATACCTAACTCAATCGCTAACTCAATAAACATTAACTTGTCATCAATGGATGAACTTCGAGAACTCTATCTTGTCCTCGGGGTCTTTATTACACATAGTAATAGCCTATGGGAAGACTCTCACTGCGATGCACGAGGTCACCTGATTGAACAGTTCCTTTTTTCTTCTGGCGCACGCCTCCTGAATCGAAAAAGAGCCAACATATTACAACATCGTTACCAATACCGACTCGTCAATAGACCTCGGCATAACATCTCCATCACTCCTGCCTCTGTTTTAATGGGTAGTCATTATTAATGGATATGGTAGTGACCGTCTTCTTATAGTTGTCAACACATCAATAACAAATGTATGCCCTCCACAGGTTCCCAAGTGGCTCATTGCATAGCCGATTAGGAACAGCTTCAAAAAATGACTTGTTGTCAACACATCAATAACAAATGTATGCCCTCCACAGGTTCCCAAGTGGCTCATTGCATAGCCGATTAGGAACAGTTTCAAAAAATGACTGTTAGCTTCAACAGACATTGGGGCGTTAAGCATAGAGGATGCTGTGAACTACTTTACAGCATCCTTGATTAATGCTGCAACAAATTGTATTCCACAAACATGTGGATCGTCAGGAAAACGATGAGTCCTATACTGAAATATTGGCTGCTGTAATGCATGCAAAAAACAATTTGAGGCATGGAAGTTGCTTCGAGACTCATTTACAGCTGAGAATCTCATAAACTTTAAGGATATCAAGTCTCTCAGAAGCAGCCGTTAACAAGCCTTCTGGTATAACCGACATTGGCCTTCCCACTGACATGTGGGAAGGCTTATGCCGGCCAAACCAACTGGTTCCATGAGCATCGAAATAATGTGCACAATGTGGTACAAGGGCAGCTTGGCATCCATTGCCGAGACTGTGGTTTCTACTGCCCTCTTCAATCAATGTGCGATAATGGCAAGGCATAGGACTCAACTTACCTGCAAGATTATTGAAGCAGAAAAGATTCAAATAATAACCAAGTGAAAACTGCATAAGCTCCCCATCAGTTAGGTTACCACATTTAGAATGTGATTACCTGGCATGCTTCAGGGCAATCTAGGACCCGTCACTCGAGCTTTGACTACAGATACATTGATTGGGCTTGCCTTTCATCCTCCCATTTTTATCATCCCACTCTGCGAAATTAAGTTAGTTGGCAGTCAGCAGCTCTTTCTGTCTTTTCTATCCTTTTCCAATGTTTGTGCACTGAAAAACTTGCCATTATGACTACATACAAACTAGCCCGAGCTTCTATTTTTGTAAGTTAGTGGCAATTTTCATGTATAAAGAATCAAAATATATCTATAAGACTTCAGACAACACATTTTTCTTATTGCAAACCTAGTTTCATCAGAGTGGTTGACTCCGATAACTGTTGCCAAACACACAACTGGACTGAATATTTTTCTTGTAATATTCTGAAGGAGAATTGGTTGTTGGGGCTGATTGGTGTTTGCATTTATGTTTTTGTACTGCACTGCAACAGTCAGCAAAGTAGTACAACATGGGTGTTTCTAACAACTTTTAATGGGAAGTCAACTAAAAAAATGGAATTTTGCACACGCATTTTGCAGGTGCACAGGTCACATCCAGCAGGTTACAGGTTCACCAGTTGAAAATCACAGAGTAAAATAAATGATCCTGAAAAGTCATGTCAGTGGCAGGTAAAGCAACAGACTTACACAGTCACTACTTTGATGCTTCTAATACTTTGCGATTTTTCGTGACTCCAGCCCAAGATCTTCAGAGAAACATGGAGAATGCACAGTCATTTTGGGTTGTCGAGTTCCAGTGGTAGTTAATGCAAATACTATGCAGGCGATTCAGGATGCGAAGGATGATGGCTCGGTGCCCCCCGTGGACAATCCAGTCAAAGCACCCAGGGAGGCACTCATTGCTCAGCTGGAGGCCAACTTGCTGTGGCAGATGGATGCTGACCGCAAGGCGCCACCGCTTAAGGCATTGCAGGGTCTCATCTGGAAGGAAGGCTATGCCAGTGGTCAGCTGTGTGCATCGTAGGTGGCTTCTATTTCACTCTTTTGAACCACAGCCTGGACATCTAGGAATTTCAAACCTGCCATTGTTGATTTTGTCAACCGATTCGACAACCGGGACTCAGCGACAAGTGTACATCCTTACTTCCCCACCGCTTTCTTTTTCTCTTAACACTGGTTCCTTTCACACCGCACACTGCCCTCTCACACTGCCACATTCAATATTACCCCTCCCCCTCTTTTGTTAGGAAAAAGAAGAGGGTACAAAGCTTAGACACACTAGCGCTAAATAACTCGGTTCTGTTCTGACCTTGAGGAAGACAAGTCTGCTTGTCGAAACGTCAGCTCAAAACAACCCCTGTTTGTGGTTTTTCATTGCAAGCTTCCATCTTCCCCTTCGTAGCGTTTTTCGGATAGCCTTACCACCGGTAGCACAATTCTGTGAACAGTCTTTCGGCAAGGCTTGTTTCCCACCACAGCCCACACTGCTTTTAACTACCCCACTGGGTTCGCTCTTCCACAGGAAAGTGCATTAGCACCAGGGATCTTCTAAAATACTGTTGTAATTTACTAAGTTCAGAGTGAACTAAGAGCTGGCAAAAAGTTCTGAGGCGATGTCATGCCTACGACGTTCCATTCTATGCACCACCAGGAATTGTTTTACTGCGTAACTTTTGACCACTGACTAGCAACGACACATAAGCGCAGACTACAAGGATGCACAATAGTGTTCCAGCTTAAGGACACGAAGACAGGAAAAAGGTCTTGCGACATATTTTTCTTACCGCAATCACTTTATGTGCTTGCATGCAATGAACCTTGGCAGATTTAACACCAGGACCTTATCAGGTGAAGCTAGGCTAGAAGAGTTAATTCAGAAGCTAGAAAGGATGAACTGGGATATTCTTGGCCATAGGGAAGTTGGAATAACAAGGCAGACTGACACTGTATATAGCGGAGAAGCCATGTGCTATGGAGGATTTCCTGGCAGAAAGAATGTGGTGTTAGATTTTTAATTCCTGAAGACTTTGCAGGCAACATTGAAGAGCTTTCTAGCATGAATGAAAGGGTAGCGAACCTCATTATCATTATACACAAATTATATAAACTCAAATTAGTTCAGGTCTGTAGTTTTGGTGATGTATGAGAGAAACAGCTATACGCGAATATCGAACTAGCATTGTGACCACGACAAATCGTAATCATGGGATACTTCAATGCCATATTGTAAGTAATTTGGTGCTACTTGCAAAACCCTCGAAGCACTCGCACATTCACACACACTTTCTTTCAAGAAACACACAGAGCGTGGGTGCGTGTTTTTTGAGTGGAAGCGTGTGTGAGTGGTTCACAAATTCCTAAGTTGCACTAAACTTACTTACACTCCAGGCTGCTTTTATTATATTACGCATTTATTGACTCACATATCAACTATTGCATCACATCATGGGGTAATAGTTACAATACTCGCCTTGCATCGATACAGACAATTCACAACAAAGCAATCAGGACAGTAACTTCTGTTCTCATCTGTTCTCATCTAAGCAGCGGTTCCAAACAGTTGTTTTCTTACAGTACAGGACACTGCAAAATAGAATCTAGCCATCTGGTTATTCAACCACATTAATAATAGATGTCCCATCTCCATCATCCCTTCTTCTTCATTTTTTAACCCTAACAACACAAGATTTGCTTGCACACAAAAAATTCAGAATCCGAACTAACTACTTTAAACAAACCGCTCACTTCAGTGCATTTTTCCTATAGAACTCATTGCCATCTGTCTTAAAATCAATGACTCTAAGCTCATTCGTTAAAGAATTAAAAAGTTTCTTCTCAGTCAGTACAACACTAAATAACTTTTCGTTTACACAGCCCTTAAAAATAATTTGGTGTCATTTTTTTTATTCTTGTATATACCCCAGCAAACCTTTTTTTTTCTCTCTTTCAGGTGTATCACATGCTTTCTTCTTGGTATAATAAATATTAGAATTCTTTTTACCCACTGTGCTCAATATGCACATTTAAATTTTTCCTCTTTCCTGTTGATGCAAATGTTACATTTTTTCCCCTGCTTAGCCTGCATAGGGGGTCCCAATTCAGTCCCTGACTACGTGACTTCCTCCTGTATACTCAATTGCAATAACCAGATTTTCTGAAAATAATGAAAGTTTCTGATCTCTGACAGTGTGGCAAGTTACCAACTAGCTTAACAAGTTCTAACAAGACCTGAATGCATAAGTCACAACAAAACAAAAGGAGAAAGACATAATTATGGGATTGATTCTAGGCGTGGCAGAGGAGAGGTATTGGTGGAATTTGCAGAGCGGATTAAGCTCCACATAACGAGCACCTTTTTCCTAAAAGGTAAAAATGGGAAGAAAAACAAAAATGAACAATATTTTAATTTTTGTGCGGAAACCCAGGCATAAAATGACAATAATGTCATGAATCAGGTAAAGTGTACTGTGACCATAGGTTAGTAAAAGCGAAAATAGCATTTAATTTGAGAAGATCTCGATTACCCATGAAAAGATGACCCCAACCTAGATGTTGTAAGAATAAAATCAGAATATTTTAGAATTACAATCGAAAATTTGAACATAATTTTAAAGGGGCCCTGAAACACTTTTTTGAGTAACTATGCAATTAATTTACTGGAAAGGCATATTGCCTCACAAGTTCAACGCCGCAGAAATTTTAGGAATCCGTCCAGTACGAGTAGAGTTACAAAGATTTGTCACACGCTGCAATCGCATTTTCTCTTTTCTCGTCCCAACGAAAGTGCTCGAAGCTAAGCAGGAAGGGATGGGAGGGCAAAAAAATAAAAACTTTATGCCCGCCTCGTGACATTGAGCTTTGTTTTTTTTTTCTTTGAATACTTGGCTTTTTCAGTGCGATTGCCCGTGTTTGCGTGGACAAGTGATGGCCTCCCGCGGCGATCTCTGTAACGACCGAGCACTCCATGTTTGAACCAGCCAATGGCTGATAGATGGGCTTACTTCGAGTGATTTTCGGGCTTATTTCGTGATTTGTCGAGAGAAGGAAAAGCTTGCTTTGATCATTTGTTGTGAATTCCAGGCCGTGTGCTACGCTTTAATATTTGGCTCGCGTGTTATTAGGAGCCTCTACTACCGATCGGCAGCGGTTTCTGACCATGCTTAAAAAGTGTTGCAGGGCCCTTTTAAGAGAACAGAATAATCGAAGAGATGAACAAAACAGTTACTAGACAGACTTCTGAAGCAGCTATCGAAGTTGGAGGTGAAGCAGCAAGACAAGAACTAGGCGAGCTTTTTCCATCTACTAAGGACTCAAAAAGTCACTGCTTTACTGCGAAGGCGAATCAGTGAACGCAATAGCAACAAATTGGACGGTCATGCGCAGAATGGCAAGCAGATTGAAACACGCCCTGCGTTTTTCATGCACAAACGATGCATGAAATATACTCACAGGTTCAGATGAATACGAATAAGTGTTTCAGTTGTTCCGTCGCTGTGTTTGAAAAGCGCGCCTTTTTTGCAAACGAAGACAGTGCAACGATTTCAGTGATGATTGTGTGCCCAGTAACTACAACAGAATCGTTCCGCTGAAAGCCCAAGGCCATCTAAGGCGTACGATTGTCCCCATCGCGACATAAGCAAGCACATGCGTGAGCTTCCACCCTCCCCCTCTCTGCGGGGCAAAGTACGCGTGCAAGATGAGAGCAAGCGTTGCCGTGTCGTGACGATGTGACAATGCGCACTCATTGAGCCATCTTGCTGGTAATGCTGAAAACACGATAGTTCTCCTCAAGATGCCCATCACCAGCAGTAAGTGTATATAGATATAAATAGCTTGCCGTTCAAACGCTGAAAGAGGTCCTTTTTAGTGGCTCAGTGACTGATGCATGCCTCGCATTCACAATTCAGAGGTCCGACATTCGATTCCACGTGCCGGAGTCTTTTTCTTGATTATTTTTCTTTCCTTTGTTTTCATATACAGTCGAGCCAACATATAATGGCCCCACTTAAAACGAACTTTCGCTTAAAACGAACAATATCCGCGTGACCGTGAAAATATACATTGGGTCAATGGCACAAAATCGCACTTACAACGAACGTCCCTGAGCGCCGCTGACCGGTTACAGCGAACAGAGTCAGTGGTCTGCCGACTTCCCGGGAAACCAATTTCGACCACCGATCAGGCATCGGCGAGGTGCCCATATATTCTTATTGTTAAACGCTGACCCTGCCACCGTGCCCCTCTGTCCTTTGTCCCCCTGCTACTCTGAGCATTCCGCATCGCCAGACGAGGCCCGTGTTTTCACACTGCGACCGATCTCTCGAAGACAGGTTGGCCATCTACCCAGTTTTTGATCGCTGGTACTGTTGTTGACGTCGCCGGCCTAGAGTGACCAGACCATTTGCCAACATCGTCGGCCACCGAATGTATCCAATAGCGTGCGTGTAGTGCACGCGCGTACGCTAGCCCACCGACTTTGATATTTTGTGATTCGTTTTGTGTTAAGGACTTGTTCTCGCTCACTTTACACTCGGCTTAGCATGCATTACGCGCACGTGCGGAAGAGCGAAAACGGCTGTTGATTTGCGCAGAACGAATCACGAAATATCGAAGTTCGTGAGGCATGCAAACCCGCCGGTGCAACAAAGTGATTTTTTGACCACGGTCGCCAATTCTTCGAACATCGCCGCGCACACGGATTCAGGCGGCCATGCACTCTTTACAAGTTTTTTTTTTTCTACGTGCGAGTTTCGTGGACCTTTCAAGCAAGCTACCCAACCTGCCTCGTTCCCGTGTGTTTTGGTTTTCAAGGTCGCCCTCCCATCTCATCCTCACCTCTTTTTATCACAATTCCTTGCCCTTCTCTCGCAAGTCTGATTCGCTCTAAGGATTTCAAGCTGGACGATTGTGCTTCGCGATTTTCGACGACAGCGTAGCTCCCGCCGACTGGTTCACCCTCTGCGGTCTTCTGACGCCGTGAAGCTTTCGCATTGTGGTGCCCCGTCCTTGGACTGCTTTGA